TCTTAAAAAAAAATTATTATTGTAACCAATTATACTTGAATATTTTAAAGCAGCTAAATAAATCTAAAATAGTTAAAAAAAAAATACTTTATTATAGTTTAGATAGTAATTTACTTTGTAGTTTATATAAACTTTTTTTAAATAAAACAACAAACAAGATTATCAAAAAAAAATAACAAAAAAGAAGATTAAAAAAAATAAAAAAAATAAAGAAGAAATAGCTATTTAAAATCTATAAGTAGAAACTACTTAAAGTCTAATCAAAATAGAAGTTAATCAAGAAATAGATTTTAAAATAGAGAAAAAGATTACTAAAGAATCTTATTATTATATCTTTAATATATGAACTATGTAAATAATGATATAGAAACTTTTAAATTAGAAATTATTTAAAACAAATAAAAATCTTTACTAAACAATATTAACTATTCAAAAAGCTTTATCTATTTAGCTCTAACAAGAAGCTAATAATACTAATCTACTTCTTAACTACTTCATACTACATCTGTAAAATATAATATTCGAATCTAAAACAATTTTTATTAAGCTATAATAGATAGTAAAGCTATAGTTAGTATGATTATATATAATATTATAAAAGAATTGGATCTCAAAATAAAATAACTAAAAACAGTTTAAAAAACAATACTGTAGCGAATTATAATAAAATCGGATCATAATAAAATCGGATTAAAATAAAATATAAAGTCTTTTAGAATCCTTTTTAAAGCATATAAAATCTATATACAATCTTAATTCTTCTCTAATTCTAAAAAAAAAAAAAGATCCTAAAAAAATACACTCCAAAAAATTTTAAAATTTCATATTAAAATTATAAAAATTTCATTTTAATCCGTCACATTAACTTTTTATTTGTTACAAATTTAATTCAAAATATAATAAAACATTTAATATATTTATGTTTATAAAAATCAAACGATCTCTTTTAAAAAAATTTATTTAAATAAATAAATTTATTAATTACAAACATATTTTTAGTCAAGTTCTTGCTGTACAAATGTAGGATATTTTAATAAAACTTCTTCCCAAGTGATATCTTCTTCAACCAAATCTTTAAGAACTTGAAGTATGGTATCAGCCTAAGAGAAAATTTAAACATATTTAGAGATAAAATATTTATATAACCAAAGATTCCCCGTTTAAATATGATAATACCTTTTCTCTGATTTGTTTAGTAGAATCTCTCTCTCGCAAAGTTACAGTTCCGTCATTTACAGTTTGAAAATCGATGGTAATCGCAAATGGCGTACCAAGCTCATCGTTGCGAGAATATCGGCGCCCAATTGAATTGGAAGAATCATCTACCTTGATGGCAATATGAAGCTTACGAAGTTTAAAAGCTTTATGATTTTTAGCATGTTATTATGATCAAGTAATAAAACCAATTAACTATCATTATCTGAAGATTTATTATCACACCAAAATGTAATATAGTGTAATACTCACAGAGATCGCGTACAAATTTAGAAAACGTAGGATTATTACTTAGAGGCACAAGTAAACATTTGAAAGGTGCAACGCGCGGAGGGAATGATAAAACCTATTAAAAATATAATCGTTAATTAAATAGCCAGATGTTCGTGTTTGAACTAATAAAAATAACATGGACAAAATATGGACATTGTAATTTTTTAATTGGACATATAAAATTTGAACTATGTCCAAAATTTATCGAAAAATATGTACATAGTCCAAATGCAACACTGTTAAATAATGCTTTTTATATTTTACATTGAAGTCAAATAATGCAGGAACATACCGCCCTTTGTTCGTCACCTTCACGTGTCCAATACACATGTTCAATTAATGAATAAAGGATTCGGCCAATACCAAAGGATGGTTCTATAACATTGGGAATATATTCCCTGACTTGACACACGCAAATTCAAAAAGAGTTAAACAAAATGTTGCAATAATCAAAAATCAAAATGAAATAAGAAAGTAATAAGTTCCATACTATGTTCTGTAATAGTCTGTTTCTGAATAGTAAGAAAGTCGCTCGATATTTCATATTGATTTTCATCAACACAAGATACCAAGGTTTTACTAAATAAGCATAGAAACTGTTAAACAAATAAATTATGATAATATAAATAATATAGATATAGAATTACCCATTTCCATCCTCTAATTTTTTTTTCAACGCTTCCAATTGTTCTTCATTCAAGCCAGTTAAATAATCCTCCACTATCTTTGCATTTTGTCTAAATTTAGGTCCAAAAATTTTCTTGTTGATTTCCAAAACAGTTTTTTCGTAGATTAATGGCTCTGCTAAGCTTTCACGTACAACAAGTTTTTCTTTTGTACGGTTTGAATGAACAGTTAAATCATATGCAGAACGATCGGCACAACCGACACATTCTATCCATCCCTAATAACAAGAAACATGATCGTTTTGATGAAGTAAAAGATGTTAAGCTTTCATTGCTGCCACGATACATACAAAG